TTTTCTTTGATGGACCGTGAACATGTGTATTTGGACTTTTTAAAGTGAATGTCGAAAACGGTAAAGATATGAGAATGAAAAAGGGCGCAAAAGCGGTTGGTTATCTTGGTCGCTGATCATCGGCATCGTCTGAGATGCCGCGCCCTGGCGTTGCTCGGCAAACCCGCCAGTGCCGTCTTAGCATGCGAGTGTCCTGATAGCCAAGAAAAAGCTCGCATGAACCTTCCGAGACGGGCAAAAGAAGAAACTGAGCTGTCTGTGCAAACCAGGCCCAGGGCGCAGGGCGTAAACAACAAGCAGTAGTCAGTAGGGCGCGTCAAAAAGGCCGAGCAATTTGCGCTGGCAGAGCTGAGGAATCACTCCTTGAGCAACGACGGGAATTTTCGACGTTATTGGCTCCAGCATGCAAGGTTCTCGGGCCAACCTTTCAGCACCTGAATCAATCACCGTCTTGGCATCATCGGTCACAACGGAGGCAAAAGGCCGTTGGTATGGCGAGCTAATGCAAGACTTGCTGGAACCTTGCTGAGCCGAGAAACTTAGCGCGCCTCGTAGAAAGAATGGAAGCAAGAATGGAAAAACGGCTGAAGGAAACAAGAGATGAGGCTCAATTGCCTCGGCGTGAATGCCGTGCCGAAGAGACCCCCCTGTCGGCGGCCCGGCAGTAAGCGGCTGTGGCTTATCGCAGATTTTTCTTGGTGGTGGCTGCTTGTGACGCAGAAGGTTTGCTTTGCCACGTTTGCTTACCAACTGTCAAAACGCTCCCACATGGACCGAGCGGTGAGATTTACAAACTGTCAATCTTGATGGATCCAAGATTTCACATGGTCCAGACCTTTGAGTTATGGAGACTGACCGTGCTTGTTCGGGGCCCCAGCTGGAGGCCTGGCAGCTTTTAACACTCTGTGACAGATTGGATTCTGTCATGGCATTTTACAACCAGCAAACTACTGTAACTTGAAGCTCCGCGATCCACCTCTGTTACGTACGAGAAGAGTGCTTGTGTGTGCGGTTTGCCATGTGGTTGGTTGGGGGAATTTTACAGTAAACAGGGGCATCTCCAAGTGTCCCGTCAATAATTCCCTGTCAAGGTTAAATGGGGCAAATGGCGTGAGCAAGTGTCTCTGATGGCTTGTTTGCAAAGGGCGCAGACGACGAGGGTTGCGAGAGTCATCTCCAACACAAGGTGGCACTGCGTAGATTTGAAACGTTTCCCGACATGGAATCTCTCGGCTTGTTACCTGAAGGAGTAAATGAGCGGCAAAGGAACATGATTGAGTTTGACCTTCCTAATCTTTAACCTGAAAGAGACTTACGGATGCGGCTCCTCTGGAAAGCCCGTCATCAATCTCTTCATCGCAATCCCCCTTCTCGAACTCTGCCCCTTGCGGACTAGCCCTCACCACCATCTCGGCGTTCCCTGCAGGCACTTTACTCCATCGAGCTAGCATCGCTTGCACCACAGGTTCCCTTTCTCCACCGCGCTACGAGGTGGAGATCGGCCCCCATCCGCTGTAAGCCGTGCCATCATGGCGCTTTTGCCCTGTCGGACCGCGTTGGAGTCGTGCTCAAACTGGCCCGAGACGCCCTTGTTGACCGGCTTTTGTCGGCCTTTCTGAGATGACCCCTGGCCCTGTCTTTACCCTTGGAACGTGGGAGATGACGCTACTCCAAAAACTCCAACGTTTTAGCAGCTTTCCTGATTGATAGCATTGCTAGCTGAGATTGGAGAATGAACTTCAAACGTTGGGACTTGGGCACTGACTACACAGCTGACCACCACGGATTTTGGCCACCACAGGCGTCGGACGGTCCGGTCAGGTTACGATTCTGTGTTCAATCTCGCATGTTAAAGGTCTTGGCAATAATACCTTCGTCACAGATTGACAAGGCTTCCGTAGTCTGAAGAGTGCCATCGATACCCAGGTCCCCGTCATAGTCCCCGCACTCCGGGTCATCCCCGAGCAGACTCGCCTCGAGGCAACCGCATGGATGGATTGCTGCCCACCGTTATCAGCGGAGCTAGTCTTTGCCCAATCCTGGTGTGACTACACGTCCCATGTCATATCTTGTATCTTGATATGGAGGAACGTACTGGTGGTACCTGTCCATCCTATCTGTGGTACCGTCCGTAGGTGCAGCACTCTCTTCATAGGGCTCTCTATCGATAAGAAGAGCAGAGTGTGAATAGTATAAACATTCCCGTCACAGAGCCTCATTCGCCTCTCCAACTTCTTCTCACCCATCTCCCTCTTTCTTACCTGTGTGATCCAACCATCTCGTAAAGTCGAGACCCAGGCCTGCCCCAGGTTGCCAATACCTTCCCCCGCCTTTACCCCAAATCCCCAAGAAAGAAGGCTTGTGGGGCCTCCATCGGCGACTCCACCTGCTGTGTAGAGTTGACACCCTCCCACACGCGGACAGACCCCGAACCTGAATCCGGGGGATAAATATCACCCTCCTTCCCCCCTCTTGGGAACATTGCCCAGACACCATCAACATCTTCTTTACTCGTTACTCCTGAAAACTTGACCAAAATGGCTGAGAAGGAGCAAATCGACGCCGGCAATGGTTTCGACCTCAACCAGGAGGCGAGCCACCAAGGCGAGAACGAGAACATTGAGTACAACCTCGCCAACTCGCATGATCAGCTTGAGCGAGGTCTCAAGAGTCGACACATTCAGTTCTTGGCCCTTGGTAAGTCACTAGAACCCTCTTATGTCTAAGTCGCTAACACTTTTAGGTGGTGCTATCGGAACTGGTCTCTTCATCGGCTCGGGCAGCATCCTTACCCGTACCGGACCCGCCCCCCTCTTCATGGGATACCTTTCCATGATGGCTCTTGTCTGGATCATCATGAACGTTCTCGCCGAGATGGTGGTGTACCTTCCCATGCGCGGTATCACTGTTCCCTACTTCGTCGGCCGCTTCGTCGACCCCAGTCTCGCTTTCGCCGCCGGATGGAACTACTGGTACGCATATGCTATGCTCATCGGAGCCGAAGCCGTCGCTGCTGGTATCATTATCGAATACTGGGAGCCTCCGGTGTCTATCGCTCTCTGGATCGCCATCGTTCTCGTCGTCATGCTCCTCCTCAACATCATCGCCGTCAGCTTCTTTGGTGAAGCCGAATTCTGGTTCGCCAGTATCAAGCTCATCACCATCTGCGGTCTCATCATCCTGGGTATTGTCATCTTCTTTGGAGGTGGTCCAGACCAAGATAGCGTCCGTGGTTTCTCATACTGGAAAAACCCAGGAGCGTTTAAAGAGTTCGGTGCCAAGGGTTCGACCGGTCAATTCCTCGCTTACTGGAGCGCCTTTATCAGCGCCGGATTTGCTTTCATCACATCTCCTGAGCTGATTGCCATCGCTGCTGGTGAGACTGTCGCTCCTAGGCGCAACATCCCCAAGGCTGCTCGTCGTTTCATCTGGCGTCTGGCTATCTTCTATGGTGTCTCTTCCCTCCTCATCGGTATCCTTGTCCCCTATAACGACCCTAAGCTCCTTGGCGCCACCTCTTCCAACGCCAGTGCTTCTCCCTTTGTCATTGGGATCCAGAACGTTGGGATTCCTGTCCTCAACCACATCATCAACGCCGCTGTTCTGACCTCTGCTTGGTCTGCCGGTAACTCGTTTCTCTACTCCGGCAGCCGTGTCCTTTACTCCATGGCTCTTAACAACCAGGCTCCCAAGTGGTTCCGCATCACCAACAAGCGCGGTGTGCCATGGGTTGCTGTCCTATTCACCTGGTCGTTTGGTCTTCTTGCCTTCCTCAACGTCTCCAACTCTGGCGCGACTGTCTTCAACTGGTTCGTCAACATCTCGACCATCTCTGGTTTCATCGCCTGGATTGTCGTCATGATTACCTACCTCCGCTTCCGCAAGGCCCTCATCTTCAACAACATGCTCGATGCCCTCCCCTACAGGACTCCCCTCCAGCCTTACGCCACCTGGTTCGTCCTCCTCGTCATCTCTCTCCTCACCCTCACCAATGGCTTCGCCATCTTCCTCAAGGGTAACTGGGACGTCAAGAGCTTCATCGCTGCCTACATTACTATCCCCCTGTTCCTCGTCCTCTACCTTGGCCACAAGATCTGGTTCCGTACTCCCATTTGCATCCGCCTCCAGAACATCGATGTCATTACTGGAAAGAGGGAGATGGATGAGCTCGCTGCCCAGGATGTGCCCCCTGTTCCCAAGAACTTGCTGGAGAAGATCTGGTTCTGGCTGGCTTAAGCGTGTGTTGCATGTTAGATAGATATGAAGAGCCTTGATGGCGTAGAGCGTTGATTTGATACCCTCAGATGTACATAATGAGATGAAGAATTATCTAACCTTGTCCACATGTCCATTGTCGTGCCCGTGATAATATTATAGGCTCACAGAGAGCTTCTTTTTTCCCATCTTGTCGCATGGTTGAGGAAATCTCTAACGATTCCCAATCTATTGATGACAGTTTCCTTTTTATTAGTTGGGATAAGGTGCTTCTCCATGTTTTTCCTTTCTTTTTTCAATTGCCTCCCCCTCTCTTCTACGCTGGGATATGAGGGACATGGCATGGAGAATCAAGTTATTATTTGCAATCACCGACGCTTCTTGGGTCTGACGTTTTGACATTTTGACGTTTTGACTGCGCCCTCGTCAAAGATCTATCAATTTATCCTCTAATACTCATCAGCAATCATCATAAAAAGATCCAAGGCGGAATAAAAGTATTACAATCATCATATGAAGATTTAGCTAGCTCTCTTCTGTTTGTATAACACCCTCTGTGGCGAGATAGAAAGAGAAAATTGCTCCATGATCCCATGCGACGAGAGGAAAAAAAAAGCATTCCATAGTCCCATTCATCCGAGAAAGAAAAGTGCCATCTTTTGATTGGGAATAGTTAGATTACCTCAACCATGGGGGGTGAAAAAACGACGAAATCGGAAGCACTTCATGCCCCAGTAATGGAGAAAGAAAATAGCAATGTTGGGATTGGGAGTCGCTAGATTACCTCAATCAAGTCGTGGCGAACCAAGGCGACCAAGCGAAAAGAAGGGAAAAACCGAGCGCCGAATGTGAAGAGCGTCATGTCGAATGGGGCTCGTTAAAGAGGTCCAGGTCCATGTCACCGTAGTACCCACGAAGTAGTCGGATTTGCTTTCGCGTCTGCTCAAGCATCTGTGGCCCGCCAGGTTTGGCTTGAAGAGACGGTCGCCTAACTGGTGCTCGGCGGCGATCGTAGGAACATGTCCTGGGCCACTCCCGTGCTTCGCGAAGGGCACAATCCGGTTGCGACCCAGGGCGATGAGCAATCTTTTGTTGAATTCATCCGCTCGAGCTGCTTCAGCCTGGTCGAGAACCCGCATGAGCTGGATCTGGGCGCTCTCATAGGTCATGCCTGGGTGATAGTCGACCTTGACCTTGTTCTGGGACACCATTCGCAGGTTGTGGTGGCGGAAATCGAACTTGACGACCTCTGGGTTTTGGGTCGACACCGCTAACCGGGCGGGGGCACCAAGTCTGCGAGCCTTGGCCTCCTTTACCGCTGACTCGTCTTTGCCCTCTCTCTTTCGCTTTCTCTCCTCGGCAACCGGTTCTGGGGCGTCGTTTGCCCACGTCCCAATATGGACCGACATCGCACGCTTGTCTCTGTTTAGCGGTTCCTTGGGGATTTCGGGTGCGAGGTCTGTGCTGTCCCACATCTTGAAAACCATCTTGAAGTAGTTCTCAAACATCTCCGTGGTTACTACCTTTTCTTTGCCGTCCCCCTCGATCCTCGCCCCATGATAAAGCAAGGTCAGCGAACACGAAGATCTCAAAACTGGTAAGGTCATACGCCTTAGCGATGACCTGTTCCAGGGCTCTAGACGACGCTGCCACAAGGTCCAGCTGTTCGATGACTGGATTCAACTTGGGCTCAGCTCCGGCCGATTCGTTCTGGGACTCCTTGGGCTCCATTTCGTCTGTTCTGATGTGAGTATGCATGTTAGGCTGAAACCTTCTGTATAGCGGATGGAGTGGGCATACCGAGAGGAGAGGAGGGGTCGGCTACACCGTTGAAGAGGTGAGCTTCTTGATAGCAGCTTTCACCCTTGCAGTGGCTAAGGTTGGAAGCGAGGGGAAAGCCGTGATCTCTCTGAAGGAAGGCCGACTGAAGGGATATGATTGCTGTTGTTGGTTGTCGAAGAGTATAGTGAGTAATAAGGGTACTCTATGCAAGTTGGTCGGTCTTAGCTTCACCAAGAGCCTTGAGGCTCCTGGTTACTAACCCAGAACACCGCGTGAAGGTGCCGACCATTGTTCTGGTACCTCCGCGCAGGCTTAGAGAGCCTTTGCATCATTGGCAAGACTTATACATGATTCCAAATGCCGCCAGACACGCAAAACTTCTCTAATCCGTCAAAGATGGATGGCGCTAGCCGTGAAGCCCAACCTAGGGGCTGGTGTTCCTGTATCTAAGACGGAGTGCCGCGAGGCACATTTCGAGAAGTAGAGCCGTCTCCGGCGAATGGGATATCATCAGGGGTATCCTTGGTTGGAATCTGCAAAAAATAGGGTCGGCATAAACACGGCGTGTTGTCGGGTTCGAAGCGCTTGACCGCAAAGTCTAGTGTCGTTCTCGAAACAAAAGGAGGACAAGAAAGGAAATGATACCGCTAGGCCAAATGTTGGAGAGGTCGAAACGCCGCGGAAAGAGAACTGTCGTCGGGGTTTGTTGAGGATCTGGTTTCTAAGGCTAGTTATTGGTTCTGAAATGGAAATAGCTCATGACTTACTTGCCGCGGTGATGGTATCCTTCATGGGCGACTGAACATCAAGCCGCCTCGCATATCCTCCTGGAGCGACTCTTGGCCGATTAAGAGCTTCCATTGCTGGGCTTGTCGAGGAGCTTGCCGAGAAACCCCCACTCTTCGTTGATGGCATCGCGTGTCAGCCTCAAGGGCACAAAGAGCTTTTCGATGCAGTCATCGCGATCGATTTCCGGAAGACTCTCGTCGTCGCCGACATTGCCAGACTCGGCGAATCTGCAGATGCGCTTGCGAGCTGTGGCGAGTACTAGTCGCCTGTTGAAGCTGTTCACCCGGTCCTTCTCACCCAGGTCGTAGATGGTGATGCATCGTTTCTTGGCCTTGAATTCTGACATGCCAGGGTTGTAAACAACGACCTTGTTCTTTGGAGCCGCTCGGAAGGATGTATTACGGAACAAGTACTTGTGGCCGCCTTCTTTGAAGATGGTAAGCGTTAGCCACGCGTCTGCGCCTTGCTTGCGAGCAGAAGGCTTTTTCTTCTGGGGCTCCTCGGCGTCTTCGGTCTGCTTCCTCTTCGAACCCACAGTCTCAGCACGTGAGGGTAGAAGATCTTCTTCCCAAGTCCCTACAAGGATTCCCGAATCTTCTTTCTTTCGGCCTGGTTCTTTAGGAATGGCTGGTTCGCCTTCTGTACTGTTCCATTCATCAAAGACGGCCTTCAGCAAGTATGGTAAGCACTCGGATGTCGGTGGGTGCTGGAATGAGGACTCGGTCTTGCCGATCCTCACCCAGTATCTGGCAAGGTCGACGAGTGACAGAGCCACGGCCTTGGTAAGGCCTCCGGAATCCAGAATAGGAGTTCCGGGAGCCCGGGACTCCACGAACTTCAAGCCCAGGGTCTGGCGCTGGGAGGGCTGGGCGTTGTCTGTCGCGGCGTCCATGGTAGAAGGTCCTAAAGAGGCTGGAGTTAGGTTACATCACTCGAGATGGCCGAAATGACATGGGTACTTACAACGAGGGGAGAAACAAGTAGTTTGTGAAGAAGAGGAGGAGTAGGGGGTTTCGCAGGAGAAGACAAGAGTTGGCGGTGGTGATGGTGAAGAGGAGAAAGCAGGATCAATCCGCGGGTTACTTTCTTTTGATCGTGCTGAAAACAAAAATCGCAAACCTCGTTGCCCACGGAATTCTGCTGTTATGATTCCTCACTTCTCATCAGTGCTTAGCAGTGCTAGGCACTGACGACACTGGCTGCCCGGACCTCGCTACGGGCGATGCCCTGCGATCTGCAATGTGCCCTCTGAGCTTCTAAAAAATGGATGTTTTAGTTGAATGGATCTTTTTCTGAAGGCGAGGGCCCGTAGCTATATACTGCCCGAAGTTGAAATAGGCTTGAGCAGAGCAGGCTACTTGTAGTGCTCAAAAGAGGGCAAAGCACACTGACAAACAATACGACTCAAGGCACTCTCGAAATCTCAAAGATCTTTATGTCTTGATTGTTCTCTGCCAACATGCGATAGGTAGATCTTAAGAAAATACCACTTACAGACGAGTAAGTGATTTTTCCTTCACAGACACCCCAGACTTACATGTCTAACTCAAGAATAGACGAACCAGACTCCGAACTCCGCTCTTCCCAGAAATCCTGCCCGTCGAACTTGAAACCCGCGAAAGCGAAGCCGTCTTATGGAACCTCTACGAGAAAGAAGGGGATGAGGATGTTACGGCCAGTCAGCCAGCCCAACCCAAGAAGCGAGCCAGGCTCGAGGATGACGAGACCGATAAAACTGCGATCAAACACCACGGCATCTATTACCTCGTCGCCACCGATGACCCTGACCGTCTGCGTTTCCAGGAACGCATAAGATCCCTGATTGACATCCCCTCCGAAGAAGATATGACGACAGCTCAATGGATGAAGCTCCCGCGATTCCGAAGAGCCATGACTCGGGGCTTTCGAAACATGCTCATGGAGAGCGATGTCGAGGAACTGGCTAGAACTATTCTATAAAGGATCCCCCACAATCACAACAGATACTACGCCGCCAGAACCTTAAACCTGTTGACCTCTTGGATCTACCAAGGGTCTCCAAGAACTTGCCCTACCTCATCTAGATATCGCCATCAACAACGAAGACAACGAAGACAACGAAGACAACGAAGACAACGAAGACAACGAAGACAACGAAGACAACGAAGAATTGCTCTAGCGGGCTACTTTGTCCTCTCGTCCTTTTCAACATCGCCCCAACAAAAGGGCCAAGTTTGAGGGCTACGAAACGGATGAAACCGTGGAGGACTGGATCAAATACCGCAATACCCACTATCCAGCCCCTGCCAAGGATCCTGACCGACGACGCTTCCGGGCCAGCATCGAAAGCGTGATCAAGAAACTGATTGACTAGTCCCCTTCCAGCGGCGAGATGTCTATATCTTACCGGATGAAGCTCCCTAGAATGGGACGCGCCATGACTCGTGGCTACAGGAACTTCCTCATGCAAAGTGATGCAGCATAAATAGCCAGCACCATCCTCAACCACATCCCCCATGAGCCTCAACAGCTCCTTGGCCGACAAGAAGTCCAGCCTATCCATCTCTTGTATTTACCCCGGGTACCCAGCGAGTTCCTCCGCTGCCTCACCTATGTCGATATCGCGGTCAACGCTGGCCCTTCAAATGTACGATGATGCCGACTCTATTGCATCCAAGTACCGCAGCCAAGGCTACCAGCTCCGGGGTCCAGATCCAGCCCACCATGGATACAAAGCTTTACATTCGCTCGGACTTGACTGATAGAGGCGGGTATACCCGCCTCCAAATTCACAAAAAGGAACATCGCGGCACGCCTGGGACAAGTGGCATGCACTACGGGCTTACTCGTCAAATTGGGGTAGTTCCAAACTACCTACCCAGTTGTCGGAGTCTGGAGCAACCCCAACAGACTCCGATCAGACGGCCAAGTAGTTCAAAACTTCAAAAGGTGGCTGCCGGTGTTCTTTGGAGATCTTCTCATGGTCAACCTTGGCACTTATCATGTCACTTACAAGTCAATCATAATGCAACAGGCCGACATATCCTCCGAAACATCATACGAGCTGGCGGATAAGCCGAGGTCCGGCCTTGGTCTTTCCGACGAGGAGAACGGCATGCAGCTCAAGGAGGAAACTCGACGACGGGGTGTCATTAGATTACACTATCCTAAGAGTCGCTAGGAAATCATTGTAAGAACATCATAAGATTATGAATTAATGAGTCAAGACATGGGTAAACTTAGGAGAAATTTAGGGTTTGGAACATGTCCAGACGTTGCCCAAGCTCTAAGGCATAGTTACCTTGACCCTAGCTCCGACCGAACAACGCGCCGGATTACCTCACATAGGCCTCGTCATTCTGATCGCCAGTCTCGAAGTACCACTTGCCCGAGAAGTTTTTCGCCGTGTGTGAGCAGTTACCATTCTTGCACTTCCTGGTATCTGGAATATGCCTGGCCTTGGGCATAAAGTCCTTCCGCTTCGGCCGGTTAGCTTTCGCTCGCTGCCAATTGGTGGCCCAACAGACAACGCAGAACCGGTCACCCAGATCCTCGTCACGGCAAAGGGTGTTCAAGACGATCGCCTTGTGTTTCTTGCAATGATTGTTCGCACAGGCTCGGGGGCTGCACATCCCACATCTGAATCCTTCATCGAGAGTAGATTCCCAGTCTGTAAACGTGACAAAGAGACCGCACGAACTACAGCTTGTCGCGTTAAAGCGGTGATGAGGTGGCTCAGCGGCTGCGATAAGTTCATTTGGGGTAAGATCGCGTTGGAGGCCGCAAGGCGCTTCCTGTCCAAAGACGGAGTAGCTCTAGTCGCATATGTGACAGCGCCAGATGTTCTTGGAAATATCTTCGATGTAGAAAGCCATATTTTTGAGCCTGGCTCCGGTCGAACAACACGCCGGATGGCGCATGCGAGGACAGTCTCAAGGTGTGAATCCGGAGTGATATTGTCGATGCCAGATCCACAGCAACGTGCAGTGTTGCATCCGTCGCAAAGCATCTCTTAATCCCAGGGATGGACTATTGATGTTGGTCGATGTCATTCATCGCACACGCTAGGTTCGCTCAAAAGTTTCGGCCGAGCGTCCTTGGCTGGTGACCATTCAGCCTTGGCGGCTTTGGCGAACTCATGGCATCGTTGGCAGCGGATTCCGTTCATCAGGCCATAGAGCTTGGCCCCCTTCGGAATCCTGACACCACAAGCCGAGTTCATGCACCTGGGAGAGTTGCCTCGTTTAAACCATTCCTGGTTAATGGTATCACGCTTGTTGCCCAGCTCACGAAGCCAAAAGCCGTTCGAGGTACCTTCTCGGGCCCGCATCGACCTCCGTATTCCTTGGCATATTTGAGGCAGCCCGAGCAAAGGCGTGGCGAGAGGTGCCCCGCTAGGAGAAGGAGCTGGGTGGCTCCAATGAAATCAGGTGAAGCGACTGTTGGCGGAAGAGTAGAAATGGTAGATTGTCTTTGGCACTCTGGGTTGGCGCATCTATTGACCTTCGCCATGCCACCACTGACACCCTGCATTAGAGGCCATGCATGGTTGAGAGAGTGTAGGTGGAGGTCGGGAAGGTCGAGGCCAAACCATACCTCCGAAATATGGCGCCGCAAAGGACAAGATGATGAGAACGGTCGCGAGAGTAGTTGCGAGCAAAGGGAAATGCTGAAGACCGATTGCCGAGTGCTGGGAACCAACGTTCAACCAAAAGATGCCAAGATAATAAAATGGCACAATAAGCCCTCCAGAACCCTTTTTGTGGTTGAAGACGCCGGAAAAGGGGGAGAAAGAAGCCCGCGAGATAAAGTCTCCGTTGTTGTTGATGAGGATGAAAAGGTTGAGAAGATGAACCAGCTCTCTAAAGCAAGTCTTCATGGTTGTTGCTGATCGCTAGACAAAGAGGATGAGGGGCTTGCACAGGGCAACTCTTTCGAGCTACCCTTGAAGACCCTGTCAAAGAGCTGCTCTCTCCAGTTATCTCCGTAGATCCTGGGAAAGAGGACATCTTCCCAGTTGTCCCCGAAGACACCAGTAAAGCGCTCAACATGCTCCACCGTGTCCTTGATCAGATGCTGCTTCACGTATTTTCGCTCGGCGAAGCGGTTGTTAATCAAGTGCTTTGGGTTCACCGCGGGAACGGGCTTGTCCTTGGAATACCCATTCTTCGAGAAGTCCACAAGGCGCATGCGGGCCAAAGAGGTGAGGACGTTCTTGTTGTATGTATCCACCCGCATGATCTCAGCCTGATCGAAGAGATGGATAATTTGAACCTCGGCCTTCTTCTGTGTCATGCCAGGGAGGTATTTGATCCCCGTGCTCGCGGCCATTTGAAACTTGCTGTCGAAGGTGCCGAACTTGAGCGGATCCGAGCCTTTGGCGGAAAGAGCGACTTAAGCTTCTCCGCCGGATTTGCGGAATTTTGCAGGTTTCACCTCCGACTCGTCTTTACCCTCTTTCTTGCGCTTGAGTTTGGCGGCACGCGACTCTTCGAGGTCTTTCGACCATTCTCCGACGATTATGCCTTTCTCATCTCTTTGGATCGTTGGCTTCCTCTTGATAGGAGCCACCGCGCAGCCGCTGTCCCACTTATTGAAAACTGTCTTGAAGAAGCTGGCCATCACCTCCTTCGTCGGCAGCACCGATTCTCCACTGCCTTCTTCGATCTTTGCCCACTCTCGGGTAATGTCACTGAAGAGGAGAATCTCATGGGCCGCAAGTTGATCGGCCTTGGTGAGCTTTATTTCGGATTCGCGAGACTCCGCAGGTTGAAAGTCCAGCTTCTCCAAGTAGCACACCGTCGTGGACCTGTTGCTAGTCGGTGACGGGGAATCGTCTTGGGCCTTTGTCTCGGCTTCCATCTTGACTTATCTAAGGCGGGAATGTTTGTTAAGTTGGGAACTCTATGTGACGACTGCAGTGGGCATACCTGGAGTGGAGGGGGCTGGCACGGCGTTGGAGGACAATGATTCTTTTGTGCCTTCACCCACTAAGCTGGCTGGGGCTTGGAAGTGTAACAGACGAAGGGGGCGGGAATGGGTAGGAGGGCCATAGGCCTTGAAGGTGAGAGACGCCAGAGGGGGCGGAGTTGTGTAGGCTGGTGGTTAGGCCGGAGTGGGTGAAAAGAAGAAGAGGAGGGGAACAGCAAGGAATTCGCGATTTCCATCTTGTCAGTGAAAAACAGGCGTTTCGCCTTGTTATGCAAATCGCGGGTCGGTTTCTTTCTTGATCAGAGGGTTTCATGGGCGACTTAGGAATTTGTTTGGGGGAGATTTGGAAGACCGCGCCGGAGAATCTGGTCGGGCTCTGGTGGAGGTCTTTCCCGGAGAAACACTTCCTTGTCGCATTTCTAAGGCAGGCGCGAGGGCCGCCGCTGGCTTCCCAAACAACAACACTGCAAACAACTACGCAAACAGAAAAAAACGCCATGGATTTCATGCAGCTTCAACTACGCCGAACAGACCTAAACTTTTAACGACAGAACCGAGGTTTCAATCAGGAGGCACCATCATCCCAGAAACCTCTGTGGTGCTGCTGAGCTGCCAAAGCTCCTGCTTGACGATGGTGATTCCTTCGACCCTTACTTCATAACTATGAAATGACCGGAGAGCAGAAATCGAGGCCAGCAACACTGCAAGACATCGAGACGTTGAGGAGCACAGGCATATGGGCAACCTCTTCGGTCTTCAATACCCCAACCTATCTCAGCCCAGCTGCCTTCAAGAGAACCGGTCCCCGATGCATCCCAAGCCAAGTTGAGCCTAAGAAGCCGATATACTTCTTAAGGATAACCAGAGTACTGAACTGGCCGCAAATTCAACAGATGCACCGGAAATACGCCGTGGTTATTCCACTTACGCCTCTTTATCGAACTCTCGTCGATTCCTGCGACCTCCAGCGCGTCGCTGAAATCCGCCAGTTTAGATAATAATTAGATAAGTTTTGCTCAAAGTAATAAGATCTTAATGAAATATCTTCCTAATTTTATCTAATACTAATATGATGATAGTCTTACTGCCTTTTAATTATCATCTAAACTGTCCTTTTGTCATTCTTCTTTGACCGTGACAGCATAGGGGCAAACTTGACGGACGAAAAATCTCTACTCCTCGCAAACTCCGATGCGTGGAATACCATCTGCATGAACCCGCTTCTCTACAAGTGGTGGTCGCAAGCATTTTTCGGCCTCAAATGCCTAGGTAGCATACATGTGTTGAATGAAAGTTCACGCATGCAGCTCGCGCAAAGGGCATTTGAGGTTTCTCCCACTCTCGACTTTTCAGCGCCTCATCTTTCATCTTTCAACTCTCCATCTCTCTTTTTTTCTTTCCCACTCTCCACATTCTCAACCCTCGACCAAGACTTCCTCCAGATTCCATCTCTCATTTAAAGCGACAATGAGTCTGAATCCAGGTGATGACGAGAGCCGGATTGACCGACTGCATCGTCTTTTGGACGAACTTCATGAGAGGACACCGAGGCGCGAACTGGCCCTTCAGATGCTTAAGAAGTCGCTGAAAGCAAACCCGCCATTCGAAGAACCCAAGACTTTGTTGCCCGTCGAGGAGGCTGAGATCCGACGTGACTTTGCTATCAAGCTAGAGGCTGAGATCCGCACCAACCCGTTGCTGGCGCACTTCAGGCTCAATGCTATGCAAGTCGCTACGATCTTATCCGTACCTATATCCACACTTAGGCCAGGTGGTTACCTCTCACTTCGAGACTCTGGTGGACAACAGAACAGTGAGGAGACTTTGTTCCAACGGCTAGAGGGCATAAGACTGCTTGTCAGGCACTGTGAGTGTTGACTTTCCCCTCTTTGTGGTACCTGAACTAATGATGCATGTCATAGTCTTGAGGCCAAATCAGGGCAAGGAACTCCTCAACAACACGCTCTCTGAGCTCTTCTCCACCCCTCGCAGCCTTCGTACGCCCCGAAACAAGCGAACCCAATCACCCGCCTCTCTTCCTTCCAGCAAGAAGTCGAAGCGATCATCGAAAACCCGTCAAAAATGCGATGATCCAGATGCGGAGTACCTGCCCAAGGAGGAGGGGCGAGACAAAGACGAGAGGGATAAGTGCTTCGAGAGAGATGGAAAAGCATGCGTTTTGATGAGGACAGTGGATCCCCATGTTTGCCACATCATTCCCTTCTCGTGGAACAACAAGGAACTCAACATCAGGAAGACAGGGCTCGTCTTCGGGCACGCTGAGGCCTTCCTTGGACAGGACTGGAGGAGGAAATACCAGACATATCTTCAGAACCCTGTATGCCCAGGTGGCTCCGATAAGGCCTGGAACATGATTTGTCTGGACATGCAGATGCAAACTTGGTGGAGCAAAGCCCGGTTTGGGTTGAAATGCTTAGGCCTTCGCACTACTACCAAGGACGAGTCTGTTGTCACTCTCCAGTTCAACTGGATGCCCCAATCCGCCATGAAACCCACAGACCAGATGACTTTGCAAGGGCGGGATAATGACTTTGATCGGATGGTGAAGAGTGCTAGGGCTTTCTACGAAGGCGGAAGCTTTCCCTCACCTCAAGAGTTTGGCACGATGGCTGCACTATCTGCTGCGTCCGCGTCCGCGGCCCCAATCCTATCTGGAGACTTGGTTGAAGTTAAGATGTTGAGCTCTGAAACTCATCTTTTCAAGGCCATGATCGAATTCCAGTGGGCCATGATTGTTGTGGCTGCCTTCAGTGGTGCTGGGGAGCCAGAGCTCCTGCTTGGCGATGGCGATGGTGATTCCGATTCCGATCAGCCTGACTTGAGAACTATGAAGTGGGTTGAAGATCAGCAATCCCAGCAAGCAACATGTTGAGACGCCCAGATATCGGGGGGCATACCCCCGCCCCGGGTCGCCAGGATTCCGCCAGTTTAGACGATAATCTGATGAGTTTTGCTCAAGGTAATAAGATTTTATTTAATTTTCTTCCTAATTTTATCTCATAATGATATAATAATGGTCCTAATCTCTTCTCATTATTATCTAAACTGTCGTTTTGATGGATGATTCACAGCCTTAAGTTAGGTTTCACGCACGTTTTCACAAGCACCTCAAAACCTTCTACAAAACAAAAACAAAAAAGGAGATTCCTGGTTTATAATCTTCTCGTTTCTTTCACTTTCCTTCTTTCATCACCCATTTTCGTCATTTCTATCTCCCCAATATTACCATGGCAGACCCACAAGATGAGGAGGTCGCAATCAGAACCAAGTACGCATTGAAGATCCAGAATGACATTCAGCGACAAGTGCCAGGGGCCAAGGATTTCCGCCTCAACAATGTCCATCTCGCCATGTTTGCTAGCGCTCCTCTATCGATCCTTCAGCCTGATGGTATGTTGGGAGGTGCGATGCCAATTGACATGGTGCACCATTACCTCGAGATCTTCCCTCCGCTGGTAAAGCACTGTGAGTACCGTATCTATGCCCTTTGATCCATCAATATTCTGGGAAAAGAAACTAATGTATGCGATAATAGTCCTGGCGCGATGGTCTGATAAAGCTTATAACAAACATTTAACATCGCGTCCCAACACACCCGCCGTTCCCAGTAAAACCCTCAAAGCGACCCGAGGGAGCGCCAGGGAAAGCAGTGCCAAAGCGCTGGAGAAGATCCGCGAGCAGTTCCAGCAGCTGGAGCTTGAAGGGCCCGAGGAAGATGAGATCGAGGACGAGGAAGATGATATCGCCGACATGACATTTGCCCTCGACGAAAAAAAGGGGAGGAACAGCTCTGCTATCTCGGGCTGCAAAAAACGCGATAGCAACAAATGCGTCCTAACAAGCGCCAGCGACCCCGAAGTCTGCCATATCGTTCCATTCTCGTGGAACTCGACGAGAGCCAACATCAAGAAGACACAGTGTGTCTACTCAGCCAGCGCCATCTTAATGGGGGTAGACTGGACAAGCGACAATTTGATACTCCTCGCAAACCCCGATGCGCCTGGCGGTTCAGACCATGTCTGGAATACCATCTGCATGAACCCGCTTCTTCACAAGTGGTGGGCGCAAGCATTTTTCGGCCTCAAGTGCCTGGGGATACTTGAGGGTAAGGATACATCCATCGTCGAAGTTCAGTTCCGATGGATGCCTCGAAGCAAAAAGAACCCCATGGCCTCATGTTGTTTGACGGAGAACAACATGAACTTGATGTTAAATGAGGTCAAAGCTCTCACTGACGGTGGGAACCTTCCAGCCACACCAAAGCATGGCAAGATCGGCACGTCTCAAGTTAACCTGAGGTCTGGATACACCTTTCGCGTCGAAATGCCACCCGAGGACGCCGGGCGATTCAAAGATATGCTGGATCTTCAGTGGGCGTGCATCGTCATCGCAGCTCTCTCTGGTGCCGCAAGATATCCACATCTCCTTCCCGATCACCCAAGATGGGGGGATTCAGACGTACGTACTCTGGCATGGGTTGAACAACAGATATGGATGCTTGAAGAAGAACATGTGGGCCAGCCACCCAACAGTTGACCTCCAGTGTCGTCTCCACAGGATCGTGTATTCATGATGAACAAGGTCTTTCAATCCATGCCGGCCTGTGTATGCAAACCTGGCAGAGGCCCTGGCACTCGCTATCACTGCGGTTAACTTCTGATCGGGCCTTCGCCCTTGCAACTATGCCGCCCAACAACAGATGATGCTATACCATTTATGCTCCTGTCACCGGTATTAGGTGCCTCTTTAGATAATCGACTACCCTTATCACCACCCACCAGACATCGGCTTTCTGGTCCGTGACTTTGGTCAACGTTTCTGGGCCCAAGGACACCCGTCTGGTAGGGTACTCGATCATGCATACTTATTTCTATCTCTCGACGGCCGCAAAGGCACAGAGGATGAGCGCGTCGAGGTCTAGAAAACGAGACTCTAGTCCCACGTCAGATTATCCTCCTCTAAGGATAGCGAGTACATTATGATAAAGATGTCATAGGAAGAGAGTAAGTTACGCTAGAATATTCCATTTCTTAGGATAACTCTTTGACTATTTTAGGACGTCTCTGAAGATTCTTGTTCCATTCCCCACGCCGGCCGCCGACCCTGAGACACCTGAGAACCGCGCCCCCGGCAATGTCATCGAGGAGTCCGCGACCTCACTTATGGCGAGAAACAATCGATTCTCGGCCTATTCACGACGCTGTGCAAATGCCGTGCGCAGGCGGCGGAGCAACTCGAAGTCACGTCGGAGTTTAACCACTCGGCTTGGAGGGTGGTCTTTTTAGGAGGCTAGGATCCCTCCGATACTGCCAACTTCAACCCCAGGATTCGCAGCAAGAAGAGCACCGAGACGTCAGTTGAAGTCGGTAAGATTGACGGCGAGCTCGACGATTTCCACAAGAAGCAGCGCACAAACGTCAGCGGAACGCTGAAGAGTCGCTAAGGCCAACCCACCTTTTTTGTCGCTTTCGCTCAGCTCTGAGCGATACTCGATCACATGGTATTGGAAGGACCAGTCGCCATCCGTCTCACCAAGTATGAGACCATGACGAAAGCATACTTCGATTGTATCCGGAACTATGACAACAACGAGATCGATCGTGTCGCCTCGTACAACCAAGCTCTCGTTCTGGCGGCTGCTTGACGCCGGGTCGTCAAGTTCACGCAGCGCGGCACGGACGGTACGCCTATTATCGACTCTGAAGACCGGGTTGACCGGGTCGAGCCCCTTGTCCTTGCGAGTGACCTCGTGCCGGCGATGGATACCTAGACGGAACTCGCCCGTTCCACCCGAACAAGGCGCGAGATCCAGTTCTTCTGCTAAGTACCAAGTTAGCCGTGGCCCGTATGAATCTAGGGAGATAACTAATAAGGCGAGCAGACCGACTTACGCCCCCCTTTTCCGCAGTTTGTGTCCCCCGAAGAATAGTTTGCCAAACTTGAAGATACCAGTTTTCATGCTTCTTCTAAGCACCAAGGCGGCCATGGCATGTATAGACCTGAGTCAATAAGTCAACAGGCGAACGGGTGAACAGCATCTAAGTTGACAATCGGGACGATATCTCTTCTCTCTATTTCAGCTGCCGACCTCTCGCTGGGCTTGGTGTATAGGTATATATTGCATAATTTAAAACCTGTGTTGATTCAGAAATAAAATGCCGATTAAAAGAGCGTGGGCATGATTTCTTTACTCCTTCAATATTCGAACCGTGGCTGTTGTGTTCAGGCAGCTTGCGCCAACCGGCCTGTCATTTGACTGCAGGCAATGAAAGCTTGTGAATATGCCCCTTTATCCCAAGAATATCATCAACAACAATATTACGCCCCATCGGTTCCAACAAAGACCACCAACACGGCTGCATAGGCAGCCGTGGCAGCTAGGACATCCTTAGGTGCAGCATCCTTCATAAACCATGCCAGAGCGACAGCAACTCCGACCACAAATAGCGACGTCGTCAGAAGGCCGGTGAGCTTGGAGGGGCGGAGAGACATGATGAGCATGGGCACAACGAGCGCTGCGCCTCCGAATATGGCCATTGTCAACCGGGCAAGGAAGCCCAGTCTGGCCTTTGACTCCTCCTCGGTGCGCACACCAGCCGGGCTGAACTTGGCTCCATTGACAAGAACATGGGCAATCTTAGCCTCGAATGAGGAGATGTCTGCTTCAGAGTCTACCGTCTTAGAATTAGATTCTTGGGCTGCTTTGAGCCGAGACCTCTTATCGTCAAGCTCAGTAAGCATCCCAGCAAGGAACATCATGTGATCATCTCTATCAATCTCTCCAGGCTCCTTGCGAAAGGTTCTGTATGCGTCCATAGCACTTGCTGCCGAGACGTGTCAGCCAACATGAGGTGCCATGGTAGAAACTCCAAAAATGCTCACAGTAATCCCCTAGTGCCTGCCTGATATCGTCGATCCTTCGGAAGCTTGTGCTCTCTGTGGGTTCGGCCCCAATCTCGGACGTGAGATTATGAACCACGGGGCGCAGTTCGAGGAACAACTGATACAGTTTGGCCCGTGAAAAGAGAAGGTTGTGTCGAAACAAAGCATCGAGTATTGTTATCGGGTTGCGTTGTCTGAGAACTTCGAGGTGCTTTTCCACTTTTTTGTAGTCATCGTCTTTCAGTTCGACATCACTAGGTAGAAGTTCATCCTCTATCGGAAGTGAGATGAGCCTGCCATTGACACCCCTAAGCCTGCGACTGACAACCCTAGATCTGAGCGGTGCTGGAATGGGCCTCCTGGTCGACGAATGTTGACCTTGTCGTGGAGTAAGTCGGGTCGAGATTCCACTGAAGGCCGCCTCTACGGGCACAATACGAGGCCATCCCCTATTTTTTGAGAGATCATCGGTGTCAGGAGAGACTTGGTTGTGTTCTCTAGTAGTGCCTGTTGCCAACGCCGCCTCATGAAATGAGGGGTTAACCTCCGTAGAAGCCATCTCGAGGTCGATATCCAGCCGATCGACTGCTGGGTCCCTCGCTGGGACCGAAATTTGGACATGGGTGTTTTTTTCATGTTCCCCACCATCTAGTCTCAATTGTAGGGATGGGTTTGAGGCTGAACTGATGGTATGCAGAACCGAAGACATGACCAGACAGGGACGCAATGTTAATACGATACGAAATCAAGAGAAGTTATCAGGTATTAAGTAACTGCTCAGTTGTAACCCAGCAAGGCAGATTTTGCCTAAGCACTTATCTACCGCCTCTAGTTTGGGGCAGGGCTATGTCGAATTTGAGGCTCGCAGATTGGTGCACATTGTTCAGCTCTAAACGCCAAAAACTTGGCGATATCTGTGCTGGCCACTCACAGTTTGAAAGCCTAGAAGTAAGGAAGAGTATTGGTCAAACCGTTGTATTTTCCTGCTGCTGCCTAAAATACAGCCTCAGTAATTCTTCAAGGAATAATAACATAAACAGACAAGTCCAAAAGATATTAGTGCACAAGATACAATAGTAACAAACAACACTCAAGACTCTAATCCAAGGCCTGGGCTTCGCACATCTTGCGATAGAGACCACCGGTCGCAATCAGCTCCTCATGCGTTCCCATCTCCTCAATCTTCCCCTTATGGAACACACAGATGGCATCCGCGTCTTTGACGGTGCTGAGACGATGCGCGACAGCAATAGTAATCCTATCACTGTCTTTGGCAGCTTCAGCTAGCGCAGCTTGTACGACCTTTTCGCTCTTCGTGTCAAGAGCACTCGTCGCTTCGTCAAGGAGCAGAATCTTTGGGTTGCGAATCAATGCTCTTGCAATGGCGATACGTTGTCGTTGGCCACCAGAAAGCTGTGTGCCCCCTGAACCAGCAGACGTGGAAAGGCCTTCGGGGAGGGAACAGACGAACTCCCAGGCGTTGGCGGCACGGAGAGCGGACTCGATCTTCTCGTCGGAGACGTGAGGCGCTTCAACAGAGGGCGAAGTGTTGACTACGGGATCATCAATGCCGAGGGCAATGTTCTCGCGGATCGATCCTTGAAAGAGGACTGGCTCTTGTTGCACGAGGCCGACCAATTTTCGATAAAGCCTTGGGTTAAGAGACACGAGGGGTGACTTGTCGATGTTGATGGAGCCAGTTGAAGGATCGTAGAATCGCTCAAGGAGGGCAATCATGGTGGACTTTCCGCAGCCAGAAGCACCAACAAACGCCACAAACTGACCCTTCTTGATCTAGACAATCCATTGTTAGTATCGACGACCATCGCGGATGGAGAACTGCTTACCGAGAGATTGAGACCCCTGAGAACTGGGATGCTGGGTCGGAGAGGGTAGGAAAACCGGACCTCATCGAGATCAACTGATGTACCTCCAGAGCTCGGTCCGTTCTTTCGATTCTCGTCAGTCTCTTGAATCGTTGGTTGTAGTCCCTTGAGCCAAAAGACATAGTTGGCAGCATTGATGCCTTTAGTGATACTCGTCGAGTATTGGAAAAGCTGAGCCGCCGATTGTCCAGCAAAGAAGACGCCAAGAAAGGCGACGAAAAACTCATAGATGGTGATCTTGTCGAAGGACAACAAGCGACAACCATACCAAAAGCCCAAAGCCATGAACCAATACTCGATGGCTTGCGTAAAGGCAAAGCACACCATCATGGTGAACAGCGGGCGTCTGCAATCAGCTACAGCGTGATCCAATTCAGCACTATACCTTTTGAGCACGACTTCCTCGATGGCAAGAGAAGACACGGTTCGAATGGCCGAGATAGCTTCCGAGGCAATGGAGGCGCTGGACCCATCGCGTTCAGATATATCGCGGCCGATCTTGGCATCCCATCGAATCTTCAGGTAGCCGGCACCAACCAGAGGAGGAAGACCAGCGCAAACAACGACCAACCCGAGATTCCAGCTGTGAACGATAGCGAGGATGCTGCAGGCAGTCACGTTCAAGGCACACACGAGGATCAGGCTGACGTTGTAGCCCATGAGCTCAAGAATCGATTGCGGGTTGGAATCCACACGGCTGACGAGCGCCCCTGTGGTGTTTTCGTCTCGATCGAAGAACTGGAGGTCTTGTCGGAGCATGTCATCAAGACTTTGCTTGCGCAGCTTGTGGCTTAGCTGATGGGCGATCATGTTGGTTGCGTAGCCGATGGCGAAATAGGCGAAAAGACAGCCACCGCCGAGAACGATGAACATCTTGGCGTAAAAGTTGCCTTGACGTTCCATCTCGGAGCCTGTGAGGGTAAAGATGTCAATGACATTGGCCAGGAGGATGGCTTGACCCGGGAACATTGCGCCTATAAGGGTTAGCAGCGGCATCAAACACTCAGACGTATAAACTTACCACCCAGGAGACATCCAGCCAGCGTGAAGAAGTACGGCCAAAGGAGTTCCGGAGTGTCTCGAACAAGGCGTGCCAGGACATACAAAATACCCCGTTGCTTGTGAAGAGCATAGTTGTCCCGATCTTGGTCGGTACTGGTGCCCAAAGCTGAATGGTTCGTCAAGGTCTTCGAGATCTCGAGAGTATCTCCTCTGGTGTTGCCAGCAACGTTGGTTTCATCTGTTGAAGATACGGATTCATCATCATCGACGGATAGGTCCTGAATCTTGACAAGCCTTGAGTACACACCATCAGCCTGGATTAGAGACTCGTGAGTGCCTTGTTCCACGATGCGCCCATCCGTCATGACAACAATGTTATCAGCCTTCTGGATAGTAGCAAGTTTATGCGCAACAACGATGGTGGTGCGACCCTTGGATGCCTTATCAAGGGCCTGCTGAACAATGCTTTCAGCGTATGGGTCAAGCGCACTAGTAGCCTCGTCCAAAAGCAAGATCTTCGGCTGGGAGATGACGCTACGCGCGATAGCAATGCGTTGTTTCTGGCCACCGGAGAGAAGCCCGCCGCGCTGCCCAATCTGGGTATCGTAGCCATTGGGAAGATCAGAGATAAATTCGTGAGCGAAAGCCATCCCGGCAGCTTCATGAACGAGCTTCTCTTTTTCTTGCCTGGGTATGTCCTCCCACTGCGTGCCGATAAGGCCCTGTTGGATGTTCTCGAAGATGGTGCCATTGAACAAGACGGGTTCTTGCTGGACGAGGCGGACGTGCTTTCGAAGCCAGTGGAGATTCAGATCATCGATAGGTCGGCCGTCGATTTTGATGCTGCCGGAGTGAGGGTTGTACCATCGTTCGAGAAGGCCAATGATGGTACTCTTGCCGGAGCCTGATGGACCCTATAGAGAGATCAGCATGGTCGAATGTAACTTGTGCAGCTGCTGCTGCTTTCTCAACTTACCACGAGGGCGGTGACCTTTCCAGCAGGAACCTTGAGGGAGAAATCATCCAGGACAGTGACACCCGGACGCGTAGGGTATGAAAAGGTGATGTTGTTCAGCTCGACTTCTCCGATGATGCTTTCGGAAGGCTGCTCTCCAGTGCTCGCCAAAGGGTCAATGCGGGAGTTTCGATCGATCAACACGAATAGCTTGGCGGCCGCGGTCGCGGCTCGGGTAAAGTCGATCGAATACGGGGCGAGCATCGTCAAGTTGGTGGCGGCAATGATTACCGACAGGAGAACCCTGGAATGCTCTGGTCAGCGATGCCTTATCCATGCGTCATGTTTGTTACTCACGTAAAGATCTCTCCTGGTTCGTCAATCTCTCCTCTCGCAAGCATCCGAACGCCTTGCCAGAAAGCGAGTCCATAACCCAAATAGATGATACAATACTCGGTGGAAAGAAGAAGACCGAAAAGGGGCGAAATCTTCTTACCAACGGCATGAGCATCGGCAAGGTATTGGTCAAACTTGGAGACAAGAGGGCCTCTCATCCCAAACGCGTGGATAGTTCGCACGCTAGATAGAATGCCCTCGGCGAAGGAATTGGCTTGGGCATGGAAGGTCAGGATCTGGGTCTCATAGCCAGCCATTATCCCTGCGGCAGCTCCATTAACCAGAAGAGTAGCCGGAGCAATACAGAGACAGATGAGTGTGAGTTTCCACTGAACAACAAAGGCAATGATAAAGGCTGTAACAAAGGCAGAGAGTCCTTGAAAAGTCAGAGCTAACTTTTCGCTGATGCCACCATGTATCAGACGACCGTTCGAGGTAGCTTGAGTTGCGACGGAACCGCCAGTACCGAGATCGAAGAATGCAACCTCCTGCCTCAACGCCGCTGCAAGGTACTCGCGACGAATGTTTCGAGTAATGCAGTGTGCGGCATATGTCAAAAGTGAATTGTAGATGTACGACAAGAAGAACCTGCCAACTCCGAGGTAGACAAAGTAGAGGGCCAGCCGAGCGGCATCATCGCGGAACTCGGCAGGGGACAGACGGTCGGTTGAAAACTTGGTGACGGTGGTGATGAAGTCACCAAAGATGAGATTCTGGAGGGCTATGCCGGCACCAGAAGCGACGGCAGCGAAGATGGCGATGATCTGCAGCGAGTATTCCGAGGGTTTGGCATATCGGAAGATGCGTGCGTAGGCTGCCCCGGCGGAAAGCTCCTCAGGATCAGAGCTCTCGATGCGCTCAGTGCTTTGGGTCTCGCTCTCTGTCGTCTTCTCCGTCCCCATTCTGCTGGTAGGCCTTCGGCCCCTGGATTCCAACACTGCGGGAGATTGAAGCGTTGGAGCAGGGGATCAGGAATAGACAAATTGTTTAAAAGATGATAAGAAGTAAAAATACGGATCAGAGATGTACTTGATCAGCAAGGAGCGACAGAAAACGAATGGGTTTGTTAGAACAGAGATGTTATTGGAGAAGAATACCACACGAGTAGTTATATGTCAAGGAACCTCAGCAACCCCCTTAGATACAAACAACGGGCAGCAAGTGACTCACCCGGGGGAGAATTCTCTGCCGAGATGTCATTCCTCGGCGTACCCGTATGGGAAGGCAAAAAATTGTCACAGATGCCACGATCTGCGGGCCTTCGTCCAGTGTTGAGCCCGTTCCCCTTGAACTATCAGCCGTGTAAGTCGGGCCAGCGCCCCCGCTGAAGTCGAGAAGCGCCAATCATATTGCTCGAGCCATGCCCTCGCGAGCCGGAACCTGCGGCCGCCGAGCGTTACTCATCTCCCGGTGGCCGACTTCATTCACCTCCGAGAGCCCCACATCGCCGGCTGCTTTACTTCTCGGGGGCCGACTTCACCTTTCCCGAGGTCACAGCATCCTAATTTCTACGGCCGTCCTCCCCCGAACAATCATCGCCGTCGCCGAAACCCACTCTTCGACGTGATGCCAATTTTCCGCTCCTAATGGTCAACACTTCTCGAGCCTTGGTCTCATTGTCCCTGTGGAGATTTGGCCGGATAGTTCGAGGTCGGGCTCTAGAGTACCTTGGACAAACGTCGCAACCCCAACGTTGGTCGTAGTTCTGGTAAACAATTACAGTGAGAGTGGCTAGAGAGTGCAGAAAAAGCGAGAAATCGCCACCAAAAACGGCCTTCCAACAGAGTTACTGGCCCTCGTGTTTCTTGGACCAGAAGGATGGTCAATTGCCTGAGGATGTTGTCGGCTTGGTCGTAGCCTAGTGAGCGTGCCTGGGGCTGTTGTTCGTCAGTTGTCACAGAGACTTTTGGAGCCCGCGTCGGCCATGTCTTCGCCTGCTGCACAGCATGACGGAGGTTTGGACTGCCACACAACGAACGCTAGGGAGTTCCCTTTGGATCTTTCACGGATCTGCTCGATTAACAGCTTGCGTCTTGCGAGTAGACGATGCAGGATACAAACAGACACGTCTCATCACTACCAGGTCGAACCAGCGCCGCATCACCACATTAAGGGACCAGCACTATGGAACCATCGCACCACTATCATGGCAAGTTCATCCACATCCGCCAGCGAGGGTAGATCCAGGCGAGGACAAGATTTTTCAAGGGCATCGCCTTTTTGCGTAACGTATCGCGCATCCCCCTGTTGCTCCGGCCTCTCTTCCCATGAAGCCTTAACTTCTTATCCCTACTCCAGTTCTCCTACGATGTCAAATCGCCATTCGAACCGCGCTGAAGAGGTTCTAGAGCAATATAACATCCTAGAAGATGAGTCCGATATCGACGTCTTTGTGCGACAAGTTCCCGGGCAGCCCAACACCGCCATACCGCTAGCAAGCCAGAGAGTACAACTCGGGCCTTCAGATGCAAACGTCGCCAAAGAAAAGATGTCTGTTCAAGAGAAAGCAGAGGAGCTGGCTTTTTTTTTTATCAAGGCGACTACATTCTTCGTAACATCCTTACAGCGTCCGGCTCAAAGCGCGGGACACCAGGCAACCATCGCCTCGGCAGGCCTTTGATCAGATTCCCAGCTTCCCGGCAAGGGAACAAAGCTCCACCAAAGGTTCAGGTTTGCTGTTTGTCTTGCTGGAGCGCAGAACCCATAGAGTACCAACCGATCTAGGAGCTTCAAGGCGAACGTCCTCTTGGGGGCACATCAACATAAAGACAGTAAGTCATTAGAGGAGCTTTTATTTATTCTCTACTCTTTTTATCCTAGTTTTACTCTTCTTCTACTAATACTCTATTTTAATTATGGTAAAGCCTATAAAGAATTTATGAAGAAACCTACCAAGACCAGCGTCATTTGTATGCCTCATAGCGGGATAGATGCGCCAAGGACAGACCCTCCACTCAAAAGAGCATTCCCTTCTGCATAAGTGACATAAAGTCCACATGAAGCGCAGCTGGTTATGTTATTCCGATGGTACGAAATTGGGACGGAAGCAGCTACGATATCTTCTGGGATAGTTTCCTCTTGGGGGGCGTTAGGCACTTCTTGATTAAGCACGGAGACGCTCCAGTCGCAGATCAAGCATCTCCAAATGTCGCAAACGATATCCTCAACGTAGAAAGTCATGCTGCAGGTTCGACCAAGGGGAGAGCAACACCCTGGATTGGCGCAAGCAGCAACTGTCTCCCACTCTCCCGTAGGCTGGCCAAGGTCGACGCCGCAGCAGCGTGAAGTATTGCACTGGCCGCATAACACATCTTCGCCCCAAAAATGCGTTGCGGAAGTCGGTCGGTGGCACCAACTGCACTGACATGACACGGTCAAATCCTCGAGCTGCTCATCTTCTGAAGGGGACCATTCGGTCTTCTGTGATCTGGCAAACTGATGGCAGCGCTGACACCGGATACCATTCGTAAACCCGTAGAGTTTAGCACTCTTGGGAATCCTGACTCCATAAGCCTGGTTCATACACTTGGTTTCATTGTCTTTTTGAATTCAAGTTGTGTTGATCGTTTCTCGCCGCAGCTCGCCCCTGAAAACCCCGTTGGTGGTGCCGAGTCGACTGCGCATCGCCCCAGAATTCCCTTAGGCGTGGACGTAACATCCGTGGCATAGCCTTTTTGACATGGGACCCTTTAGGGCATAAAATCTGGGAGCGACTCCAACAAAATCTGGCCAGTCAGACCGATTCATGGAGTATCATAATGGCCGTAGGCAGTCGGGGTTGCCGCACTCAGGTGCAGAGACCATACCGCCGTTGACGCCTTGCTTTAATGGCCATACCTGATTCAATGAATCGTTATGCAAGTCAGGGAGGTCCAAACCAGCCCTCAATTGATCCACCAGGTCGTAAGAAGAGCGACAGAACATTGACGGCCATATACTCGGCTCCGGCTTGAGACTCCGATGGTATGTGCCTATATATACCATCAACAAACCCTCGATGAAAACGGGGAGCAACCTTATAAGGTTCTGGTCGCCAGCTTGTCGTTCCATCATGTGGGGGTTTGGCCAGACTCCTACAGCGCGAAAGTTGGACACCATGTCAGGCTGTCTCACATAAGCATAATGGATGCCTGTAGTTTTGAAAGGGTTTCGCTTGTCAATCTTGCGCCGATGTTCCCCGTGTCAATTCAAACTCGAGAAAAGCTCAAACGAGAATAATGACTTGACAATCTTATATCCCATGATCTACTCCACCCTATTGGGCTCTTAGTTAAATGCCCTAAAAGCAGTTGTCAGCAAGGACAGCTTGCTTATTAGAAGAAAGTTCTCTGAGCTGTTCCAACTCTTCTTCCAGAGTCTCGCCAGGCAAATACCGCATTCCCTGACCAGAGCAGGAAGATTTTCTCAATGAGCTCTTTGCGGTTTTCAGCGCCCCCTTACGTTTATTTAGAAATATTGCTAGCTACTAAAGCGACCTGTCATCTGAAGTGTGGTAATGGGAGACAGGTGGCTCGATGTTTTCACATAGGTTTGCTCTATGGGGATAAAAATAGATACTTGCTCAGTTGAAGTAAGGTTTTTACACTTTAAGGTTAAAATAAAATCATTGCTTAGTTGCTAAATCGAGGCATGTGGTCTCTTTGGCCTACCCTAATTTACCTATGAGGTAGGTAAAATCGGGCAGCCCCACGGAAGGCGCGTAGTAACATACGTGACGACAACCTACTCTTCCACTAGAATAAGAGCAATAAATATGAATTCATCGATAACCAGAACGGCATACAAGTGACCATGTAGCAATGAATTCAAAGAGAGGTGAAAGCAACTTAAAGCAACTAGGAAGATCCATCCGAAACGCAGAGAGCCCATGAGTTAGCACCTAGGTCGAGTTATCCCGCTTCTCCCAGAATCAACCGATGCAGTTAATAATAAACCAATTGAATGCAATGGATTAGAATGCTATTTTTTGACTTTATCTCATAGCAAGTCTATCCGCGGCGTTTGGCCTAACTAAATTCAGAGTTTCCTCGCCCCTGTCTCAATTCTCAAACCTCAAGATGGTGTGTGAAACAGGGTTAATCCAACTCCCCCTAAATTATTAAATGCAAGTTTACCTTTAAAGATTAATCTTCGGGGCAAAAGTAATTCAGAAAGCCTGTTAGAACTCCAAGGCATACTGTCTCAGGGTTGAGTCTGAATAGGGGTCACTAACCCCTACCCCCGAAACACTCACATTTCTGCGACGAATCAAGGATTGGTTTCCTTTCAATTAATAAATCATATGAAAGTTTATTGCTCGCTAATTGGATCCTAGTGTTCTTGCGGTCTGGTATCTAGTACGGGTGTATCTAGTCTGGTTGCAATAAAGGGATAGTTCAAACCTGGTGTGTGGGAACGCCAGCACGCATCACCTGTGCTGCTGTGGCCTGCATAATCTCCCTCTCCTCTTGCCCACTGTTGTCTCCAAAAACTTCGTCCATCTGTTCAAGTGTCTTGCCCTTTGTCTCAGGCACAAGGAAGTATGCCCACACAGCAGCTAATCCGCACCAGCAGGCGAAGAATACATACGTTCCGAAGCCGATATTCTCTATCATAGGCGGCGTAATAAGGCCTATAATAAAGTTACAGAGCCAAACAGTTGCTGTGGACAAGGCGACGCCCTTTGATCGAGTTGCGGTGGGAAAGACTTCGGAGGGGAGAGCCCAACCAAGGGGCGAGTAAGAGACTCCATAAGTCAGGATAAACATAAAAGCCATAGCAACAGCTCCCCAGCCGGCAGCGGAGTGTGCCTTCCAGTTGTCAGAGAAAAGGCCGACAAGAATGGCCATAATTCCCCAGGAAACGAGGCCGCCGAGGCCGCCGAAGATAGCGAGGGGGCGTCGGCCCACCCGGTCGATTATAAAGAAGCAGACACAGACAGCAACGAACTGAAGGATGTTAAAAACACCAGACATATCGAGAGCCATCTCTTCGCTTTGTCCTAGGGACTGGAAGAGCGTTGGAGCGTAGTAAATGAAGGCGTTGATTCCACTAAATTGTTGGAAAAAAGCGACTCCGCAACCAACAACAGTTCGTCTCCAGGTATTAGGACTAAATAGGTCCAACCAGGTGAGAATTTCGAGTCTAATACCGTGCTTGCCGGGGTGGCGGCGCTCTAGGACGGTCTTCTGGAACTGGGCCTCAGCAACGATTCCCTTGTA